CTTTGCCTAAGCTTTAGCGGGAGCGCCCTGGAAAGGAAACGCAGTTGGCGGTGGGATGCAGCCGCTGCTCTCCGGAGCAATAAAAAGCGCTGGAGTTCTCCAAAGCAAGAAAACATTCCTCAGGTTGTTGGGTTTGCTCCTCGCAGCTGCACACCCAGGGCCTGGTGGCTGGTTTGCAGCCAGCGCTGTAGGCACAGAGGGGGAAAAAAACACACCAGTTTTTTGCACACGTGTTCCAGCTATTGCTGAAAAAGAGACCCCCCCGAAGAAAACGGCAGGGCTCGGGGGAGGCAGGTGGCGAGGTAATAGCGGTAGCTGCTGCTTAAAAGGCCTTTGTTCAAGCTGCAAACCACCGAACCGAAACGCGAGACGGGGGCTTCTCAAATCCCCCCGGGAAGGAACCCAAACAACAAAGAGCCGGAGTTTTGTTCCTTTGCTCTTAAACAGGTAGGAAATCTAGAATGAGCAAATTGCAGCTCCCGCACTTAAGTGCTTCTGGAAAGCAACTTGTCGATGCACATTCCACAGGGCTAATTTTGTGTGGAAGGAGGTACCAGAGCAAACGCGGGAATGGTGATACATATGGCTGAAGAGTGGTTCCCGGGTGCCAAAACCAGGTTCTGGTATGCCGTCCTGGATCATTCCAGCGTAAAATTAATCATGGTTTTCTGTAAGCACTTCCACCACTTCAACTTAGACGCTGCAGTAAGGAAAGAGACAGAGATAGGGCTTCTTAATGCTAGGGTGATGGCTTGGAAGCGGTAGATAGTGAAAGGGAGGATCAGCGATCGATGCCAATTTAGTAGCAGAAAATCCATTTATAATATATTCTCCCGGGGGTGAATAGAAGATGACTTGCAAAAGCAATGGCTCTGGAAGAGCGCAGTTATTCCCAAGGAGGCCTGAGTGTTTTGGCTTGCCTGGCCCAGCCTAGCTATGGACCTTTGCAAAGATTTAGTATCTTCTTGCTTTGCTAAGAAACTGCCTGGCACAAGAGGAGCTGGTGCAAGTGCAGAGCAGCCCACGCTCACCCACCGGCAGGAGGATTTCCCATGGGTGCCCCGTTTGGATACTTTTCCTACCACTCTAGCTGGAAAAGCCTCCTTCCTACCTTGCTGGAGAAGGGCTAGCTATAAGATCTGCATAAAATACCTCTCATCACCTACATCAGCCCGTGATCAGAGC